CAGAAAGGCCAATATGTTGTTCGTTTCAACCTCTACAGTGAATTCCAGTGATGGATGTGCGTCGTTTAACGATTTTAGTATCTGTAGGATGCAACTTTTGTGATCGGTCACACAGAAGCTATCATCCATATATCTACTGTAGTCTGCTAATCCTTCAATAGCTGGGCTCAGCGTGCTCCTTTCTAGTTTAGCCACCAAGATGTCAGCTATCAACGGATCAAGTGGCGATCTCATGGCAACCCCGTCCATCTGACGATAGATAGTACCATCAAACAGAAACTGGACGTTACCTGTGCAGCGTAATAACAGTTCCTTTAGATTTGTGATCGAATACCAACGTCCACATTTCGTGCTTTTATTCGATCACAGATGAATTTCACTGTCTCCAACAGAAGTACATTAGTGAACAGTGAGACTACATCAAAGGAAAACATCGTCTTCTATTTCAGCTACAAACTGGAAACTGTCTCGGAAACGGTGTGTTGCGAGTTTCCGACGGATGGCTTCTAGTAATTCAATCAAACACTACGCCGTTGTGTGCAGGCCCTCCAATTGCCTTGGCCGGTCGTGAAAACCAAGACAGAACATGACGTGTCACTTGACCCAGATGGGGAAAGGTCACATCAACTAACACGTTAAACTTTCCCATACACATACACACATGCATACACCTCCATTACTCTCTGCCTCTGATTAATGACTTTAAATTGAGCCAATGGCCATCATTATGTAAGAATTTTTCAACTATGTGATATGTAAGAGTATGACTAGGAATATCTGAAAACAATTGTTTACTCACTGACTCGTTTTCTCAATGGGAATATTCAAGCTTTGCATATCTCTCAAAGATCCCTGTGTGGTTAAGGGACTGAACACGTTCGTGAAATTTTCCACTCGTGTTGCGGAAACTAACACTCATGTGAACGTTTTACATAATTGTATGCATAATAATGAATACCCCAGTCGTTAATGAAAACAACTTCGCCGAGGTCGCATCTATTCCAACCGCAAAACTCTCAGGAGACATGTGTTAAGTGTTTGCGAATCGCTGAAATTTAAAACTGCGGAATTTAAACGGAACATCTTACAAGGGCAGCATTTTGTGGACTATTTACCGGAGAATGAACGATGCGAATTCGACAAATTCGTAAGTCAAATCTGTTCGCGTCCGGTCCAGATCATTCGAGAACGTTTATTACGGGATTCCCATAAAGTTGTACACAGATGTCCACAGATATCCCAATAAACCAGAGAGATTTGGACGTGCAATTCGAAAACCTAATGGGTCAAACAAAGGATTTAATGCCTAATTCAGACGACTGAGTGTCTGAGTAGTGTATTGTTCGAAAAGACGTTTTTAAGGCGATTGATACTCAGAACACGTTCAGAGGCGAACAACTGTTTTCATTGGTTCATCTTCTAGCCTTTACAGGGCACAAAGGTAAGTGATACGTTAAACGAGGACAGTGGTTCAGTTGTCCAAGAATCACAATAATCGGTTGGGAGGGCAAGGGATGTGGGATGAGTGTTGAGACGTATTTTACACAACTTGGTCGCCACACCATTGCAATTAAATTGCAATGAGTCATTCATGCGATCGATCCTAAACCACGGCAGTTGAATGGCACAGACCAATCTCTTTGGTGCCCATAGATTGAGTGTGCACAAATGAGTGCTTCGACAGCGGTTAGGGTGTAGAGACGCAGCGATTTGGGTGAGTGAAGTGGTACTCGATAGCTAACTGCAGGCTTCACTTAGTGACCTGCGTCTGCTAGGCCAGCGAGAATAACGCTTCTTATGACATGTTTTCTATCGTGGACAGTGCTCTTTAATCCACAGGGACAGTTAAGTTGCCATTCGGTCATTGTGGGTTGCGTTATTAACACGACTGAAGGAATAGATACTCAATGGTGAGGCCAGTGTAGGCAAACTGTCTGCAGTAGATGTTGTTCGCATCATTGGTGAGACTGTGAATACGCATGGCAAACTGGCTGCATTGAATATTCTTCTCACGGCACGCACCAAACGTCTCCTAATCAGACCAGGTTGTCTCTTTGAAAACCAGTTTAATAAACAGATTATTCTTTGGAGTTTCCTTTCTTCTAGGTTTCTTTCCATAGACCGTGCAGTCTATCCGTTTTCCCTAAGAATGTTTTCAACTTGATCAAGTTTATCTAGGGACGTAGATTCGGAGCATATCTGTAGTGCACACGAGACCAGGTATTGAAAAAAGATTTCTCTTTATTCTAAGCGGCACAAAACTGTGAAATTAGGTGTATTGTCCGGTCCACGTTTCTTTTCGGTATACCCTTCTTTCAAGCAGTCCATCAGTTGTTTTGTGCAGTGCTACGTCGAGGAATTCTAAACTATGCTGTTCTACGCCATAGTGCAGAAGCGATCTGTATTCGTTTGTTCAAACCCAACGTATGTGCACAAAAGAGATTGACCCATGCTATGCAACTGTCGTGACCGAAGATCGATCGCACAAATGACGCATCACAACCTGATTGCAGTGTTGTGATGACCTAGTGAAGCGCAACACATTTCAACACTCATCCCACATCTCTTTCCGGTCGTGGTGAACGCCACGAAACATTAGGATCATTTTTTAAATTGAAATTTGGTCTGATCGAATCGAAACCTTTTGAGGTCGAATTAGATTATCCAATAAAGACCGGGAATCAACCCGATCGGCGAAACAGGCTGATATTGTAAAATACAATATACTCTGCGTGAAGCAAGAGGGGGAGGAACAGATAACTCAATTAAACAGTCCGTAGAAAAGATATCGTTCTGCAGTTCAGTTCAGTTCAGTTCAGTTCAGTTCAGTTCAGTTTGTACAAACATTATTTCGTACACTTTCATGTGCCAGTTTAAGTTTCCTGTCTTTTACTGCGCACAGTAGGAGAAAGAAGAAAAGATTGAATGAAAATAGAGTTAATTGAGAAAATGGGGACTTTCAATGGACTAGGGTTTCAAAGAAATTGAAGAGATAGACAAATATCACTGTTTACGACTATCAACCATATTTTTTCATTCTCCTTCCTTTTATTGAAAATACAAAGAAACAATTTCCGAGAACAGAGAAGCGGACAATCAGAGGGCTACCATTCAACCCACAATGTCAGAAGTCAGGCGGTGGTAGTGGAATTCGAACGCATCGCCCCCCCCCCCCGGGGTTGACAATTTGGTGATGTTACCATCGGGTCACCACCCCTCATCTAATGATACTAACAACCAGTTGTGATCATCCCGCGTTCTCCTCCAAGGAGCCTAATGGGACCCAGGTGGCTGAGTCTCTCCGTTTGGGTTTTCATACCCTCCTACCATGTCTTTGCTTGACCGCCCTTGGCTCTATTCCACTCACTACCTGCCTCGACAAATAACACGCACCGTGGTAACCTATTTGGTGACATGCGTAACACGTCACAACCAAAGCAATGTATGGAAGTCAACCACTTGCTCCCGTGCTCGACGGTGGGAACCTAAACCTCTGCACCTAACTTCGGTATGGCTCGTCCGGCTACCCCACCAGACCCGTACAATATAAAGTAGACGTTCAAAGACAGACAGTCTCTCTAGATCCTGTTCTCTTAATGGTCAAGTTTCTGCACCGTATAGTAGAATCATCCAAATTGCCGCAACATACACCCAACTCTAAATAGATAGCGGAATTTCTAGACGGCGCCAAGGATATCTAAAGTTGATAAAAGCCGTGTTGTGTGCCATTGCCATTGTCGATCTTGTGTTCCTCTCACGGTTGTCATTTCACCGACTGAAAAACTCGCTTCGACTGCACGTGTATGCACCTGTGTACAGAGACAGCAGCGAAAAGACCGTGGACAATCCATCGTGCAAACCCATTTTGTTTCTGATTTCTCTATTCCATATGGTAAGCTTTATCCAGATTCATTCTTCTATCGTCCAGCTGTCGAAGTATTGGGTGACGTAACTTCCAGCTTCAATCTACGGCGAATCATTCAGGCAAATTGTTATTACTACTAACTTACAGCTAACTGACCCAGCACAGTGCGTTCATTGGCTCACAATAGGAACTCAAAAACTATTTGCCGCGTGTCAGAACACTGCAGTGAGTTTTATCAATCGGACTGGATGAGTTTTATTCGTGGAGACTATCAAAGTAGGTTTGTAATTCACCTGCTGGCCACAGTGGTAACAGTCGGAGACTCGCATCCATACACACACACACAATGCGCAAAATCAATTGGTTCAAGCACTTAGGCTCATGTGGTCAGTCAAATCCCCGTGTCGTCCACATCAAGATGAAACTGAACGATTAACTGAACTAAAAACTTCGCAATCACTGTAAATGTCGTAGCCCAACACATACAGGCAACAAAATGTGACCGTTCATGCTCCAATGGACCTATAAGATATGAGGAAAATGATTAAATTATTTCAAGAATGAAAAGAGAAACAACTGAATAATGAAAATTAAGTAATCAAATAAGGTTCCGGAGTTAGGTGAGTATAATTCTTACCACTTGTTTCATTATTCTAGACCTCTTCACTGCGCGTTTGCCCATGGCCAAATATAAAAGTCTATCACACGGTCTCGGACGACATGCTCGTCTCTCGTACTGTCTCCAAGATTGTCCATCCTCCATTTTCAAACCCATATTGGCTGATCGTTCACGTATCTCCTGTCGACAATCGGATGCATGACCCATACAATCCCGATAGCGGGTACGCTGTCGTACACCCCATCGGGGAGTGCTCTGACTACTGTCAATCATCTCACGCTGTGCACTCGGAGGTAGTTGACGAATTGAGTTCTGACAACTGGGCTCACACGAAGTCCACGGGGACCATGGGGACCAACCGTTCAGCATTAACGGATAGCTACACTTATCCCCAGACCAGCCTGCATTACACAAGCATCGAGCCACAATTTGCGGATTGCGTCCGATCCAAATAAACGGTTCCCGAGATTGTTTGCCCATATATTCCATGGTACTACCAAGATCAGACTTGTAGAATTCATCGGAAACGAGGGGTGTTGGAGGGCAAAAGGAGAAATCACATTAGACCCGTGTGATGTAAATCACAAAATGAGTGAATAAATGGTTAAAAAAAGTGTCTACAAGCAAAACAAAATGAGGTTTTCAATGCCTTATAAACAATAATTCAGAAGGTATTTCTCGTTTCCATGTGAACTCTCATTGAGCAAATTTCATGGAACATTTTATTTAACCAATTCAAACTCAGAAGACATTATAGATGAAGGAACCAAGTTTCAGTTTCAGTTTGAACAATCATTAGTCATACACTACCTTGCGCCGGTATTGGTTGCTGTCTTTTGGCTGCCCATTTGGAGGAACATGGGATGAAAGACAGAGAGGTTGAAGGTAAATTTGATTAGAAAATGGTGAAGTTCAGTGGTCTAACGTCGCAAAGAAATTGAGAAGATGCACGAAAGCCGCTGATTACGATACTCGGCCATATCACTCAGTGTCTTTAACCATCGGGTACGATCATCCCGAGGTCCCCAGCCAGGGAGCCTAACGGGACCTATGTGACCCAATCTCCTGGTTAGGGTTTTTCCTCAAGCCAAATCCTCGTTTGACCACCCTTGACTTTCTGTCATCTACTGCCTGCCTCGGCAAATATCACGCACCGTGGCAATCTATCTGGTGACATGCGTAACACATGTCGCAACCGACGTAATCTATGGAGGTCGATCACTCGCTCCAGTGGGGGACCGCGGATACCCAAAACTCAACGCCTAACCTCAGCATTACCAATCCGGCTATCCCACCAGCTTGGTACAATGCTGCGTGGATAGCGGTGTTCAAACACAATTGAATTGCCTTTGGAAACGACAGTATACAAATGATCCTTGTGGTTGCGATGCAAGGACACTATTTCAATACACACACAAGTGACCGTTACACCTGCTAATAAATCGATATAAGAACACCGCTATTGTTGCCTCGATTTCAGGAACCTCGATAACCTCTGTATGGTCGGGGTTGAGTTTCCTACACCCAATGAGAAATGCTCCAATACGAACAAGAGTCTTAGATAGCGTCTGTTTGGAAAGCCATACTCATTGCTCACCCATGGAGCAAATATTTTCCTATCAAAAGACAGAGGACGAAAAGCCAACACTGGAGGTTATAACCAGGTTGTTGGCAGTTCACCTAAGGGGATTGGTTAAAAACCTTGATCCCAAACCGGACAAGAAGAGGTATGAGAATCACACCCACCCGTACTGTCCTGGTTGTGAGGATTGTTATCGGGTCGATTGGGTATCGACGGTTTAGACTCCATCCAAAGGATAAATGATCCAATGCACTGGATACTGCTTCTCAATGCATTGCCGGTCAAGTTTTGTTTAGCCGAAGATTCTGGTGATGAATTCCCGTTAAAATCGTTCTAGTTTGTTTGGCCTAGGCAACATGGTCCTATTTCGCCCATTAAAAAGTGGGAGACCTGTTTCTTTGTCACGATTATTTGACGGTGAATTGTTTGGCCCACAGTGTGCACTCAGACAAACGTGTAATATTATGCGATTTGTATTCTTTTGGAAGTACCCCTGTTGTGTTCGGTCTAGACGTACGAATTACATGAGCGACACTTGATTAACAACAACGCGGAGAGAGAACACAGTAAGAGACAAAGTCAGCGTGTATTCTTTCATGCTTGGAGTTCGATAAACAAATATATAGAATAATCATGCATACGAGCACTGCGCCGAGACGTCCCAGTGAAAATGCCTCCTTAACACATCGAATGATCGATCTATTCGGGGTTCAGACAGCCTGAAATGTTTCGACCATGCGTATAGTTTGCCTCGGATGCGTGAGTGGTCGGATCGGTTGTTTAAGCTCCATCCTACTCCCTTGCCCCTCGACCACCCCCCCCCCACCCCCAGAAGGTCTGCATTCTTAGCTAGCCTTCAACCGAGAGAATTAAAGTTAATTTCTTTCGTTGAGGTAGAACGTGTTGCTTTGACCCCAAAATCCATTATTCCATGGCAATCTCAAATTCTCATCCATCCACACTATTATTATCATTATCATTATCATTATTATTATTATTATTATTATTATTATTAATCCTATCACTATTAAGTTCTCATTGTAAGCATACTATAAGTATAATTATTATTTCAAGTATTGAAAATCTTTCCACGAAGCTCAGGTTTATTCAATTCCCTTTTTGTCTCTACACCGACTTTTATTGCAAACGTTTCATCACTACCAAGAGTGAGATTGTTAGTGTTTGTGAAGTAGAGGTGTTCTGCTTGTGTATCCGTTCGTTTATAATATCGAACTGGATTTTTTTTTGTTACACGTCAAGGACTATATGACGCAACAAAAAGCTCATGTCCTGACCAAAACTGCAATGAAGACGATAAAACAAACCTCACCCTCACCACTTTGCACCAGTTCAACGGTGAACCAAGTCGAACACGTTGAGAATAAAGGAACAAAATTAGTCGATAGAGAAGAACACATGTATAGACGAATGGGTACAAGCAGAACACGGCCACTTCACAAATACTGATGATATCACCTCGGCTGGTGATAATGAAACGTTGGCAAAGCAAAGTGCCAATTTCTTGATCGAACAGGCGAGATGGATGGCAACGTTCTATCGAATGACCTGACAGAAACCGGGACCAGTAGAATTGAGATGTTTAGTTACAGTTCAACTTCTTTGATTCTCCTCACAATGTTTGCACCATCAGGATTAATATACTACTCTCTCTCTCTCTCTTGAGCCAAACCACTATGTTTCAGCGCTGTAAAATACATGGCCGACGTCCATGCGTGGGTTCGAATCTCACAAAGGCTACAGAACTTTTCACAGTTACCGTACACAAAATCACCAAACATACGCAGACAGTAATGCCTCTGCATTTATATGTGGTTAACTAGATCAGATCAGATCAGTCAGTCAGTCAGTCAGTCAATCAGTATTAATTGAAATGGAAATTATAGTTCGGGGTACATGTCCCACTGGATGGAAATCGGGTATCACTCACCAGAACACAAGTACCGTGCATACACGCGTGCACAGCACACGGATCCCGTTGACGCAGACAATTGTCCAACAGACGACCGGGAGGCAAATCTTTGATCAGATTGATTTTCTGATAACCTGCCGAGCACTGACACACGTAACGACCGTCAATAGGCAAGGGAATACACTGATTTCCCTTGTCCGTCCCACAAGCCACATTGCCCGGGATTGCATTCCCGACTGGCATGGAGCATGGATCTTTAAGCTGCATTGTGGGTTGGGAAAAAACAGTAAGGGGATAAGCAATGGAAAATAATCTTCACCCTGTAGTTTTTTCATGCCAAAAAACATGTCCGATATTAATTAACCACTAAGAATATTCACTCATAAAGAACTCACTCTCGATAACATGTAATTTCTGCAAACGTTGACCATGATTACATAACGGATGCCGTCTAGGGCCCAAACAGTGCCCAGGAACTCATGGGTTTAAACGGTAAACCAATAAAAACTTTTGCTATAATTCCACACGGTGCTGCTCGGATGAAGATAGCTATTTATTATGAATAACGGTCAAGGTATCAGTAAATTGGCATAAATACAACCAAATGCCTCATTTGGAACGAGCCTTCCGCAAGCACACTGCGAGATGCGCATTATTCTGCAGTTACCATACTGACCACAGCAATTCGCTCCAACAGATCTTAGTCATTTCGGACCGTAGAAAGAAACCACCAACCGCATCTTTTTGCATGCAACTCACAAATATGAGTAGTAGTTCAAAGCAAACGTCAAAATGTTGTGAAGGGTCCAAGTAAATTTGAGTTAAAAGCCAGGCTTATTTGAAGTCAGGCAATCGGCCGGAATCGCCAACCAATTAAGATGGTTGACAGTAATCCAGTCAACCAATCGTATGATATATGCATCCCACCCCTCTGTTCTCGCTCTTTCCTAAAAATAACCATGATTTTTGCATCATAAATGAGTTGCTACACGCTTCTAGATGTGTTCTATTTCACTCCATGTGGAGGTCCTATCTGGACGAGAAAAAACCTTACCGGAAGACAATCAGTTTGAGATTGCGGTACTGAGTTAAATCTCTTGTGTGGTTACAACAGCGTAAGCTCAAGGTTCTTAATTTTCTCATACTTTGTTAAGTCGGGATTGCTGAGAATTGTGGAACCAGCGGTGTTTGGGGCCAAGTTAAGTGAATGACGAACAATTTATTCAGTCCAGTAGACAGAACAAATAATCAAACGACACTCGAAATACACACTGAAATGCAACCACAAGGATCATTTGTATACTGTCGTTTCCAAAGGCAATTCAATTGTGTTTGAACACCGCTATCTACGCAGCATTGTACGAAGCTGGTGGGATAGCCGGATTGGTAATGCTGAGGTTAGGCGTTGAGTTTTGGGTATCCGCGGTCCCCCACTGGAGCGAGTGATCGACCTCCATAGATTACGTCGGTTGCGACATGTGTTACGCATGTCACCAGATAGATTGCCACGGTGCGTGATATTTGCCGAGGCAGGCAGTAGATGACAGAAAGTCAAGGGTGGTCAAACGAGGATTTGGCTTGAGGATATGAAAACCCTAACCAGGAGACTGGGTCACATAGGTCCCGTTAGGCTCCCTGGCTGGGGACCTCGGGATGATCGTACCCGATGGTTAAAGACACTGAGTGATATGGCCGAGTATCGTAATCAGCGGCTTTCGTGCATCTTCTCAATTTCTTTGCAACCTTAGACCACTGGAATTCCCCATTTTCTATTCATTTCCACTTTTCATCTGTATGTTTTTCTTCAAATAGACAGCCAAAAGAAAACTACCAAAACCGGTGCACGAAAGTGCGTGGTTAATTGTTGTAGAAACTAAAACTGAATGTATTTGGTAATATGCGCAACACTTATGTCAGAAACAACACAGTCCGTGGAGTGATCCAGTGAGCGATTACATTCGCTGGAAACTTTGCATCTCACTTCAACCCATATCTCATCAGACTAGTGCAATGCGGTGTAGACGATCGGTGCTACTTTTCAGCCGANNAAATCGTTGGCGTTCTGTTGTTGTTGTTGCTTATTTAGCTAAGCTGAAAATTGGAGCATGATATTCTCTCTGTGCTTAGCAAATATCCGCCGTGGAATATCAACTTCAAACCTCCTTCTCTTTGGCGGGATATCCACACATGAACACGCACACTGGACATAATTTTCAAACTCCGTGTATTGTCCACACTGTTTATACAGTTCATACGGATGTGTTTATCAATCATCGTAGATTAAAATGAACCCCCACCCACCCATCCGAAAAAGGGAACATTTGCAACCACTTTGAAATGTGCGTGAGTAATGTTCAACCAGATTACGAAATTCTTTCCATCGCACACCAATGTGTGTGCGTGTCTGTGTCTGTGTGTGCCTAATCGAAAAAGGCTAGTTTGTTAACCGCATGCATGCAAGAATGATCAACTATTAATCAATGTAACCACCCCGATTTAGTTAGTGTGTGTGTGTGTGTATGTGTGTGTGTGTGTGATTCAGTTCAACCGAACCACATCGGAGGAAGTTGGAACACACCAAATGACGGTTCGAATTTATATACCGAATCCACAGGCAGCACGTATTGAACTGCATTTTGTAAACAATATTTGGTAGAACGTTCAAACATTAGCTTTGTTTCAGTAAGTCACTGAAATTCGTTGCAGAGTGGTTAGGTAGGATGCATGCCTAGACCTAAATTGAAAGAAATTCGACCGGGTATTCAGGGACGTTTAATTCAGCGATTTTATTTAACCATATAATGGATATTAGGTAAAAAAACGAATACCTATTTAAAGTTGAGTGATCTCCACTCACAATCACAAGACAACAACTTGTGGTTGAATTGTGAAACTATCAATAACTTCGACGGGATTCGAATCCATGCAAAGGAATTTGTCTCTAGCATCTCTCTTGCCATGCATACAATGGCTGAGCAAAACCTTACCGATTAAACAGTACACCATTAGTACAAGGTGCACATGTGTCGGGCAAGGAAAACGTGCACTGTGATCTCGTATTAGGAATATTGTTCAGCGATTGCAACTCACACAGAAGAAAATATCAACACAGCCGAACTCAACTCACAAGTCCTACGAGAGTTGCTTAAATCGGACTGTTGTAAGGATGGAACAGAGTCGATGTCACTGGAGGTGGGCAATGATTTTCTAAGACTACAAATGTGGTTTAACACAGCAGCAGAATGTCGATCGTTTGTGAGCTGCCTTTCGTGATGACTCGCCTTCAAGAAGCACTGGGTTCCTAAGTGACGAGCGCGTGAGTCGTGGAACCTGATACGAGTCACTAACAGCTGCAGTGAAGATCTTCATTGAACTGAACTGGTCACCTCAGATTAGAGGTTCCCATGGGAGGATTAGCCATTGGAACCACATGCTGGAACAATGTAGACCCCGTTCGGAGCCCGGAAGACAGAACCGGTCGATAATTGTTCACCAATCCAATTTGATTAATGATGACATCATTTATCGGATGCGGATGATTTAGCAATAAAATAAGACCCGCTGGTTTATTCAATCGGGCTGACATGTGGAATTAGTTCCCTCGCCGTAACATGAACTGTAGAAACGTGTCTACAACCCGTGCGTTGAAGAGTGTCAATACACAGATGTGATACGCGTCTCCTTTTTCCTAACTCTCGACAGATCAGGTAGATAAGTCCTTTGCGATCAGAAATTTCTTTTTCCGACCAAACACATATTTGAAAAATTAATTGAGGCGCCATAATTTGAATGCTCACATAGGTGCGATTTTACAAGCTAGCATTGGAGCGATCATTTGATAGACTGGAACAGAACCGCGAGGGATTTGAACGGATACATATGCTGGATCAGAAAACAAGCGTCGTACATGAAATTATTCTGGGACATTCAAATTATCAAACTGATTTCATGCAAACCCGGAAACCCGAAAAAAACACAAAAACACATGTTGCGTAGCTCAGAGTTTTCTCCTAATGGTTATATATTTATATGTAGGACGGCTGAGCAAAACCTTACCGATTAAACAGTACACCATTAGTACAAGGTGCACATGTGCCGGGCAAGAAAAACGTGCACTGTGATCTCGTATTAGGAATATTGTTCAGCGATTGCAACTCACACAGAAGAAAATATCAACACAGCCGAACTCAACTCACAAGTCCTACGAGAGTTGCTTAAATCGGACTGTTGTAAGGATGGAACAGAGTCGATGTCACTGGAGGTGGGCAATGATTTTCTAAGACTACAAATGTGGTTTAAAGGCGCAACATCAGAGTGTTGATGGATTGCCAGCTTGCTGCTTTTGGTAATGATACACCTTCAAGAAGCACCGGGTTTGCTGAATTCAAGCATGGCTAGCGATCCCTGTAGGATGAGACACGGTGTGGTCGACATGCAGAGGCCACCATAGCAGACAACATTACTGCTGTGTAAGAGATGGTGGAGGAAAATGTGCGAATGACAGTGGCACAACTGGTGAATTACATCGAGATCTCATCATGATCGATTCCCACACATGAGAAGCTCGGCCTCAGTAAGTTTACACGCACCAGATACCTCAACTGCTCAGTGAGGAGCAGAAAGCAGTTCTAGTGAACTGGTACTGCACCATACGTGCTAAGTTTGATGGTGGACGTGTTAATGCAGTTGAGGAGATTATCAGTGTTGATGGGATTAGAATAATGAGGGATTGCATCAACCAAGAAAGGTAACGATGTGTCAGAAAGGTAAATTACAAACAGATGAGTGGACAAAATTACGTGGTTAATAATAGGATATTGAAAAAACCCTATATGAAACTGAATAAAGAACACAGCAGCACAGTGTTGCCGAACTGAAGAGATTACAATTGATAAGGTTATTTTTTGCTGTGCACAAAGAACATTTGCTTCAATTTTCAGGGAAAGTACTTCCGTCAAATTGATGATTTAGCCATGGGAAGTCCACTGGATCCCATCCTGACAGATACATTTATGAAAAACCTGAAGCGGTAGATCAGCGATAACCTCACCAGAAATGTTCTGTAAAAACGATACCTGGCTGACTTGTTGCTCATAGTAGAATCAAAGGCGGAGGTGTTGGCCTTATTCCAAAGCCTGAATAATGCCTATCCAAATATCAAGTTGATGCAAAAATGCAACGGTGGACCGATGGAAGCCTTGGTCGATCTGTTCATAGAAAATACACATGGATAAGTCCATATCTGCATTTCTACAGTTTCCTTTCCA